GGCACTCTCTTGAGAGTGCCCACGGTTGCGAGCGAGCGAGCAGACGTGGGTTGTGGCGCAGCCACAACCTTGGCACGAGTACACAGCTTCCACACGCGCAGAAAAATTCATTTCAATCACGAATTACAAGATATCAGCAAGCATGAACTACCACTACGGTACTCAAGTCGCTGGACACCGAGATTGAATGAAAGTGTAAAAACTGCCAGAATGTGTCAGCGAGGTCGGAGCCTATTGGAACCAGTACTGTACCAGCGCCGGAACAGCCACACTGCCGACCCCGCAAGCCCAGCACATGCACCATGCGCTTTGCGGTAAAACCTTTCGGATCCAATCCCCCGGCAAATATACCACTGAAAAAGTGAAACCTTCGCGAAATAATATCCAGGTTGGAATGAACAAGAAAACATCGACGCTCTTTTGCTTGCTTTTTCACTCCTCAAAAAATGCAAACAAGTTGAAAAAAAGAATACAGGAGGGGGAAAAAATTACCTGAAGCTTTGCTGATATCCTTTTAATTCTTTTTCTAGGTTGAATGAAGAGAATGAAGTTGAAATTAGTGCTAGGGGAGTAGCTATCACGAGGGTGTCGACAGCACCCAGGAAGACGCCAACCCAAGCTGCCAGCAAGAAAATGCAAAAGTTTTGCAGAAGGGAGTTCTTGTGGGAGGTCGTTAGCCACATTCCGATCATCGGTAGGCGGGGGGTATTGGTGTGTCCACTCTCTTGGTGGGGCGGCGACTCGAGATTCGGGTCGTTCCCATTCCCGAGGAGGGGTGTCGACTCACTGTGCGGCAAGGATCGAGGCTCAGTAATGGTGCTCCTGATTTCGGGCTGGTTCCTCTATCTCTCGGCAGAAGATGAATCAAGTAAAGGGTGGGACAACAAAAAACTAACACAGGGGGGTAGGTGCCGAGAGAAAAAGGGATGGCTGAGGGATCCCGAGATGTTTTCCGGAACAAAGCTCTTTGGTATCGGATGATACAACTTTTGGTCTGAGACTTTTTAGCCCCACCCCAAGTCGATGGGTAACTCTTGTGAGAAGCATTCCCCACTTCTTCCCGCACTGGCCAAGTCAGGGATATGTGTTGCTTCTTTTTCCTCTTTCCCGCATTCTCCACCCCCATTCCTCTCCCTTCGCTCCAGGTGGCCAAGGTGGCTCTTTCCTTCTGCGCGGTACGTGGTAAGGTTCGAATAGGTCATCAGATTAGATGGCTTATCCGATGATGAGATCACACTTTCGAGATAAGTGTTCAGTACCACATAGACATTTTCGAGGGCATGGCAAAGCTACTGTATTAGTATCATAGCTGGGTATGAACAGGGGAACCATTTAGCCTACTAAAACCCAGTAATTCAGTTGCCTTGGCAGCCCCTAGGCCTGCGCTGGTGAACCCGCTGGCTGTACCACCCCACCACACAACCAGCGACTTCTCCGAAGCTCAAATAAAGCGAGTAACCAGAGCTAGGAGAATATTTTTCCGGTGGCCACAATCTGTTGAAAAGCAACCACGAGACGAACTAGCTCACTTATGATATCCCTCATGGATGGTACTATGAGTGCCGCAAAAACTCTCTCGTATCTTTCCTGAAAGTGGCTCGGCTCTTGACAACTGCCCAGAGCGCAGTAGAAGAACATGTGGTATTGGCGTCACTCTTCTCCGCCCCAGCTGCCCCTGTTTTGGGCCCATCTTTGCACCATAGTCGCAACTACCGGTACAAGGAGTAGAGTGGGTAAGAGTGGAGCGCAAGAGTTGCATTGATGCCCAGGGTTAGAAAAAAAACATTTCGCCAGAGCTCGAACTGGGACAGGTGCATAGCCAACTACACCGCGAAACCAAATTAATATGTTTGGCTCATGTTGTCACTTAGGGCCACCCAATTCATACCCGCTGCAGGCTAAAAAAAGGTGTGGTTGCATTGCTCGTGATTATGTACGGAACGCTCGGTCACGATCTCCACCTAGGCGATAAATTCTCACTAACACCAGTCAACCCCCTCCATCAAGACTAGTAAGGCACTCTTACTGAAAGCCCCGATTCCCCAGGTCCGCTGGGCACGCGATATCCGCCATCTCCATCTCGACTAGGGTGTGGTATTATTTGTGAAAGCTTTCTTGAAAGGTAAGGCCCGCCAGCATCTTGGAAGAGATTTTACTTGAGTTTTGGCGAGTTTTGGTGAATGCGAAAGTGGCTCTCTCGACCAATTTAAGCGCATTGCGAAGGCCGAAATATACCCTGCCTCGCTATCCAAGTTGACTCACCAACCCACTCACGAAAACTCAAGGTATGCGAACATTGATGATGGCCAGCACAACCGTGTAATTGCTACAGTTCTGACTTCTAAAACTGTTACAGTGGGCGCAGCGGGTTGTATTTGGGTTGGCTATAACATGAGATAGCCAAACATTGCCAGGGAATACAGAGCTGGGTAAAAATGGAGTAGATTATCTGGGAAATTTATGAAGGTCGCAGGATCTTTCCAATTAGGTTACTTACTCTACCCTCCCCGAGCGAAATCTGTCCGAAGGTACCCACCAATCCATCTCGGGATAATGGATTATTCTCGTCTCCTCCTTGCTAACCTCACATTGTATACTGCGCTGGTGAAAGGTTCAAGTTGCTCCCGCGGAATTTGCTGGAAAACTAGCTTATAGCCTAGGGGCCAGGCACAGCTAATCCGAAGGAGTTGGTGAAGCTTAATGCCCAAGAGAGGTGGAGGAGATTTCTCGATCCTAGTGTTGGCGTAACGGGGTGGATTGGCTATTCCTTGGGGAAAAAAAGGTCTACACCAGGGCACACCTGTGGTATGATATAGCTCTTCACCGCCTGATCAACTATGATTTCTCTTTTTGTCGGGTCCGTAGCTACCTTTTAACCATGTCTTGTTTTAAACTCTAGATCCTCATCCACTTTCTTAATCCCAGGCCCTATTTCCACTCGATTTGGTGCTGATACTGCTAGTCCGACTAGCTACATATATTTTACACATTGCAAGAATATGTCCAATATTCCGGACCAGCATGCCCGGAAACTAACATCGCATTCAGAGTCTGATACACCGGACTCAACACCACCCCTCTTGAGTGTGTGGAGGGAACGGAAAACCTATGACTACAGGGGACAACGCGGATCAATTCCCGCTGCGAAACCCCCAGGAAAGAAATACCGCCCTCGTGGCCTTGGGCCAAAAGACACATCACATCTGTTCTCGACAAACCAGATAGGAAGTTTGGAAATTTACGGAGAGGGAGGTCATCGTCCGTTCTTTGTGGGAAATCTGAGGGATGTGTTGCATGGGTATGGTCACCGGTCAGATAGCCAACTGGAGTTTATAAACTCTTTGCTTCGAGGGTCCGGAAGCAGTCCATCCTGGGTACCGAAAAGGATCATAATATGGAAATCTGGGGGATTACTTCTTCCCTCCTGTGGGCGGGATGAAGGCAGTACCTGGAACCGTCCCGCTAATTCGACTAGCACAGCTCTACACTGGAGAATTGTCTGTGGGCTGTGGCTGTTTCGGT